AAATTTCGAATTATATGAGTACCCATCAAAAACAAATAAGCTTTGATGATTATCACTTCAGTTATTTGATCTTTTCTATAGCAGCTTAATAAAATCATACATATGGCCAAAAAATTTACAAAAAAAAATTATTTATAGCCGCAGAATTGAAAATTTGCTGTGATAATTCGATCGTAACGAGTAATACACCAATAGAAAGGTATCGCTAGGGATAATGACATACTACAAATTTTTTAAGTGGATTTCTTGATCCCGGTTTGGTAAAATATTCCACTTTTAACACAGTTAAAATTTTGTTAAAAAACGCGTCAATGACACCAAAATTACTTAAAGCCGATGCTCTTTTTTTTTTTTTGTATACCTCAAAATTTAAATTTTTCGGTGTCTGTCAGTTTCAAAAAATTGTAAGTACTTGTTTTAGAATTCCGGAATAATGTTTCATGTGCTGGGCAGGTGGATACACACTGACATAAAAAATACCTGTGTTGGCAAAATGTCTGGATGAAGCGGTCCAAATGGGAACATTTAAAAAATGTATTTGTTTTGACGGATGCTTATTCATTTTTCGTCACTACATTTGATGTCAGATATTTTGAATGTTGAAGGTGCGATCGGCATGACTTTTTTACCTCGTTAAGATATGTTTTTGTTATATAGGCATAATAATAGAAATATTGTTCTTTTAAACAATATGCTGCAAGGGTATAAAAACTTTTGCTTTCCGATGTTTTATTCCTTTCTTGTTGTTTGATACTTTATAGAGCCAGAAATGTCTGCGTTAATTTCTGATTATTTTTTTATATCGACAATATCTAAATTAAATTCTATTATATTCGGTCTTTTGGAATTATGTCATTAGAGATTTTTTTATATTTAGAAGATATATTAATATCTGAGCTTACGTCGGAATATTTAAATTTAAAGTTGTAAAAAAAGTTGGTTTCAACTCTTAAAGGATCGCTAATTTTGGTGTAAAAAATTTCATGATTTACCAGAAATGGTGGATTAATATATAGTCGAGTGCCACGACTATTAGATATTGGTTAGTCAGATAACCAATTTCAAAATAAATATGCCCCTAAAAATAATCGTGTTTATGGTGGTGCCATCTGCAGGAAAATTTACTTTTATGCTTATTACTTCACTAATAATGGCCGGATTTAGAAAATGAGTCGATAGACAAAAACAGCTTTATAACTTGACAGACTTTCTGATCAAGAATATACATACTTTGTAGGGTCGAAAACTCTTCCTTCAACTCTAAAGGATATAATAAGTTATTCCACAGCATATTGCACCTACTGATTCGCTTCATTACGTTCTCGGATTTTCAGTTGGCCATGTTGGGATTGCACAAACACTCATGGGAACTGACGTCAATCCATCATTTGCTTTAACACCACGATTTGTTTATTTGAAGAGCTGTATTAAGAGAAATGAAACACAATTGCCATTCGTGCTTCGCTGCTGATTGCCATAAATAAATAATTTTCAAATCAGGCTCTGACCGAATTGTCTGGAATAAAAGTGGAGAAATGCTTGATTAGGCTCAATATTGTGGAATAGTTTTGACATATTGTAATCAAAAAGAATGGAATGAGAACCTTGTTCTGTACTACATTGAAAGAGCGGAAGAAATCGTAACGTAAATCTATGTCTCTCACTCTTGTCTCTTGATACACCTGAGCTCCTTTCGTTAGACATTGCTTTAGGCATTTATTGCCCCTTTTTTAGGCTACTAAAACCGGGAGCACCAACAAGAACATCCTCTTTAATAAGCTCATAAAGTAACAGCCACTTAAAACTTGTTGTTGGCAGCAGCGACATCAATAAACGGACTCAAAAGAGCTGCCAAATAAGCCGTGAACGAGTTCCGCCCCTACCGATGGCACATAAACGTCAGTGCCACATCATCATCTCAGGCAAAACAGCTACCCCTGGAAACCGAACGACTGGCCCTGTCTGTTTATAGAAATTAAATCACTTCAGACGGAATATGAAACATAAACTCAAGTCAACACATCGATATTCAACAGCGCCACAATGACCTGAAGGCCCCCATCTCAAGACCGCTCAACCCCCAATGCACATAATACTGGGGCCACATTTGTGGCTGCTTCCTCTGGCTTTTTAACACTTTCGTTTGACAAGGCAATCCAACTTTATAAGTATTTTTTTGTTTGATTTTAAAAATTTAAATTGTCGTAATCGTAAATTAATTTCATGGCACATAAAAATGCAGAATGCCATGCCCAAAAACACAACACAAAAGATACAATGTTTTTTATGGCTATGTTGTTTTGTTGTCGCCGAAAGGCCCAAATGATGCTTTGTTTTATAATGCAATATATTCGAAATACATTTTCAGGTTTTATTGCGTTTTGAGTGTGCTCAGTTGGCTTCGATCGCCATTTCTAAATTACAATCAAGAAAATGAAAATAAAATTTATAAAAGGCAATACTTAGAGGTTACATTAAAATGTCATAAAAACATTATTTTCAACAGTATCTTAATTAGAAGTGTAAATTATTTTTGCCACCGACATTCGGCTGCACGCGAGCCGCCTGCAAGCGATAATTTTGTCAACACCTCGTAATAATTACCAATCCAGACAGACAAAAAACGGCGAAAATGTGTTGCAAATTTATAAAGATATATAAATACACATCAAGTGTAATTAAATGCATAAACAGAGGCAGGAAATGCCATTCGGAAATCGCTTCCTCAATGTGACAAGCCAGTCATAGGTGTGAAGATTCCACTATTGAAGTTTTATTGTGGTATTTCAACTACTCGACACAAATTATGGCCTCACACAATATTTTTGATGAATTAGTGCAGTAAATGCAACTTGTAAATCTGTCACGCGTCTCAGTAAATCATCCTGCATAAGTAATGTGCAGTTTAGCCTGGAGAAAACACACAAAATTCGAAAACGATACTCCCCTCGAACCGCTTTGTCACTCGAGATACTCGTACTTTCGTCTGCAACAGATGGTGGGCAATAATGAAGATGTAGGGGAGTGTGAGATTGTGTGCTCTGTGGCGGCTAAAGGCGGTCTGCGTGTAATCTATGACAGAAAACATGCAATCGGAGCGAACAGCCGAAAATAACTCGTTGTCGGGTCGGGGACCTTTGGCTTCATTTGCAGCTCTTTACTTCGCAATATTCCCAAAGGCCTGGCCTGGCACTAAAGTTCCTTTGGGTAGCGATCCCGGACCAATTAAAACCCCAATAAGGGCTTAACAATAGTCCCTTATGTGTCAAATTTAGGTGTTCAAATTAATTATGGCACACACGAAATAAATATATATATATTTTAAGAGCCCTAAATCTATAAGTCAAGATATTATAGAATTGTAATTTACTCTGTAGTTTTCCATATCATATCAAAGTTTAGTTTGCAACATAGAAAATACGAAATATTTGCGTCTTTATAAAGCATCAGCATCAACAGGTGAGTCGTTTATTCATGTCCATTCGTCCATTAGTAAGTCCCTTTTGAAGAAAATATCAAAGTCAAACTTTTGAATATATTTACTAATGATCTTATCATTTTAATTTGGTTTATCGGCGTCATGCCGAACACATAATAGGAAAATATAAAAAGACTTTTCCAGGTTTCAGTAAAAAGTTTGTGACGGATAATTAATACTGGGGTATTTACTAAACGTAAAAATTCATTTAAAAACACAAATCTCCGTTCTCCTTATTGATTCTTCTGTAAGCTTTAAAGGGTAAAAACGATTTTTTTTATTTAGTCGTAACCTGTGTATAAATACAATATCGGGATTTAAGAACAATTATAGTTTAAAATTTGTCAATTTAGCCGAAACTGCATTATAGGTTAAGGAAATATATAAGTCGGAGAGGTATCGACTTGCCAATTTTTGATTTTAAAACTATAAAAGCTAGAGATTTGGGATTTGATTTCTTAAATCTTAAGCAGCACAAGTTTATTTCAAAACTGAGCCACGCCCACAAATGGCAAAAGTCTGTCACGTCATTTTGAGACATGCTAGACCTTAGCTATTGGACTCTGTGTGTGTCGGTCTTATCTATCGGTAGACACAACCATTTTCAAAATCGAGCTATTATTCTAATAGTTATTAAGTCCTCTGCCGCCGCTCTGCCGCTGATCGGCCCTTGCTCTTCCGGTGGTGGCAGATGTAGAGCGACAGAACGAAACCAATATTAGCGGGGCAAGCTCATAGCTTATAATGTTGGCTATGCAGTTCGACTGATGGCGCCACCTAAACTTCGGCTGTTTTGTGGGAAAGTATTTAGTTTTAAATTTGTTAGCTGAGTAACGATTTTCTAATAGTCGGGGAACTCGACTATATTTATCTATCGTCGTCGAATGTTTTTTTATCATACAGTTATTTGTTGTTTTAAAATGTTTTAATGTTTTTAAATTGTCATTTAAACGTGGCATAACTTAAAAAATTAAATTAAATGCTAAAACTTTAATTACTTTACTACTTCTACTTTAGTTATACCTCTTAAATATTAAATAATGAATAATAATACTGTCGGCTACCAAATTTTTTCCTGTGTATGTTACCATGTGCTGCCAATCAATTCCCAACTCCGTCTGGGGGCGGCACTTTTTTTTTATGACTGCCCTGCTGCCGTCAAATATGTGAACCGCGAACTAATTGAAATTTGTTGCGCTGACATGTTATACAAGATCTGCTTGCAGTTGGGCGACGGAGAAGATGTTGCCCCTGTCGATCGTCTCCAGCTCATTAGCCTCTTCCCGTCGTAGTTATTGTCTAATTTTAATTAATTTATCACAAGCATAAAGTGGCGCAACATCTGACATTTCCCCCGCAACAAATCACTCGCACGCCTCGTTGACCGGGACATAAATTTCCTCTCGGGATTCCTAACATTGCCCGACTATCAAACGGAATTTATGACAAATTCTCGTCTAGTCTTTTGCATGCATAACAAACAGACGAACTCGCAACAGCTCGTTTGAATTGGTCGTTTGGATGCTACAGCAGGTACAAGCTATATTTAAGTATGGCAATATGAACACAAAAACAACATGCGATTGGTGATATCAGTATGTGAACATCCACTGGTTCTTCCAGGTCTCCCGCTTGTAGACATTCTTGTAAGTCTGCACGGACACCTGAAACTCTGGGCCAAATAGGGTGTTCGCCAGCACATTTTCCACAGCCAGATTTCGATTGGTCACAGCGTGCACAATGATCAACGGTTTATTTACCTGAAATATTTATAGATATTACTAATTTTAGTATTACGCCGAAGGAAGTCGAGAAAGCAACTGATATACGTTAAGATCTTGCCAATGTTAATTTGCTCTCGTAACATGTACAGATTGTTTAATTCAACATGGGCTTTTAAAATCTATATCTTACCGGAATGGTTTTGCCCTCGCTTTCGAAACGGTGATCGGGGCTTTCATGGGCACAAAAGAAGTGAGTGTGAGAAGTTGGCACCCGGGCAGATTGGCCGCAGTTCTACCGGATACTAGACTATAGTTTATCTTACTTTAAATGAGGGATAAAAGCAGACCTTGTAGGAGACCAGTCCCAGTGGCAACGTCACCTCGCCGTTCTTGGTGGTGAAAAACACCTTCTCTACTGGGAGCGAAAGGTTTAGCCTTTTAGGACCGCTGAACACATACATTGGCTCATCCGCGGGCTCCAGGGTCTGGAGTCGAAACTTCTCGCCGTAGGCTAGGTACTGACCAGTAAGGTCCTTTTCGTTCGGACTGACGATCCTGAAGCTGTTGCGCAGCGAAGGACGTCGCGAAGGTGCCACTGTGAGGTCGCACATCTCGTTTATGGTGTTGCAGTTGCGGTGCAGTCCCTCCTGGGTAATTACAACCGACAGGGCCAGGTTTTGATCTATGTCCTGTTGGCGGCAGACACTGATTTTCACTGGCTGGAGCTGCACCACCACTCCGAAGGCAAGCACATCCTGTGGTGGCCCCAGCACCGTTTCCTGGTAGAAGCGATCGTAGACGGCGCGGGTCCTGTCCAGCAGAAGGTTTCCACTATCCCGGCGTTTCTTCATTTCACTCACATGCATCTACGAAGAAAGCATTTAACAACGCCTTCATTTTCTTAGCACATATTCGTACTTCAGTCTTAAAAGTAAAACTTAATCACTGTCATAGGATAATATCAAACAAATAGTAACACCAAGGGAATCTCTACCAAAAATTAAACTTTATGGCTTTCAGTGAAATTGAGAAGTAGACACAGGATTTTAATGGTACCTATAGGCAATGCTCACCTCCTCTGACAGGGCAGCTTCCAGCCAGTTACCCACTTTCACCCCAGGACCATACATTGCTCTGCAAAAATGTTGAAGGGGAGATTGGTTTTAACTTCAGTGCAGCAGTACTGCAGTTAGTGTACGGGTTCAAGCAACCTTTCTTTTTTGTATTGTGTGTTGTGCTTTCCCAGTGACTGCCCAGTAACCACCTACTATGATGAGTTCCCCCAAAAGATCAAAGATAGCTCCCTGCTCTGGCAGCCACACACAAAGCCAACCCATCCGCAACTAACCGACCATAAAATTCGCATGCGGCGCTTTGGTGGCGGCTTCATCTTTGATCCTGCCAAAGAGGCGAAAATAAATTGCTCAATTATGATATATTAAGTGCCCACGAGACAGTCGAGGAGCCTAGTCCCAGGCGCAAGTTAATTACTCATTTGTTGATTGTCAACTGTGGTTAATGAAGTATCCAACTAATTACATGTCGAGACAAGCCGAGAGTGCGCATGTCATCAGTCGTCCTCCGAGGAATTCCGCTTATATTGAAAAATGCCGCTACGGAAATTGAAAGTGCGGCGGGTGTCTTTGGACCGCTTCTCCGCCAGCTGCCGAGGAGCCAGCGACTTGGATCTGGCTGTCAGTGGTGGTGGCAGCAATTTATTACCTTTTCCTCCAACATCTTGACACGACATTCCTCTCACCACCCCATCTCTATGCCGGTGACTCGAGTTTCTGGTATTTAGTACCCGTGGAGCTCTGAAATTACCCGAATTCTTCTTTTGACACTAAGCACTCATCGCACTGGCTTCTAATAAGATTATTGCATTAGTTTCTCGTTCCTAAAACTTCCTGACATCTTGGGAACACTTTTTCGATTGGCCCAACATTAGTGAGTTATGGGTGACAGACCCAAGGCTATTCCGTTGTTAATTAGATAGAGCCTTGATTGGCTGTGGATAGCGGACAGTTAGACAGAAACAATTATTTTCATTTGATATTGACACGGCAAGCAGGAAACTAAAATGGCCATTTTAAAACAAACAAGAAGGAACGCTATGGTCAAGTGCCGCGACTATTAAATACCCTTTACTCAATATCAAAATAATTATGGACAAGAAAATAATCGTTTTTGGAGTGGCGCAACAAAAATGTTCATTAAAGCTTATAGCTTTTCTTGATCAGGATCAATATCCGACTCGATCTAGACATGTCCGTCTGGAAAGACAGTCTGTACGCTTTATGAACGTCGAGATCTCGGGATCTAAAGCTAGAGATTTGGGATTTGGCAAGCAGATTCTAGAATTCCTACACAGCGAAAGTTTATTTGAAAGTATGAACTGTCTTGCTCTGAGACATCTTAGAACTTAGCTGTAGAACTCTGTGTGTGTGTGTTTCGGTCATATATATTTTTAGACACAAAAACTGTTGAAATCGAGCTGTTTTTATACCCTTGCAGAGATTTTTATAATTTCAGTCACAAGTTTGCATATATCTTCTTGAATAGCATCACTAGGGGAGTCTATCTAGCCATGTCCGTCTGTCCGTCCGTCCGTTCGTCCTTCCGTTTATACGAAAACTTGTCTCTCAGTTTTAAAGCTATCTGCATGAAACTTTCCCTAAAGTTGTCTTCCTGTTGCAGGTAGCACATAAGTCAGAATGAGCCGGATCAGTCGACTGTAGCATATAAGAACAATCAGTAAAATAAATAAAAAAAAATGATAGCTGTTTAGCTTGCTGTTTTTTTTTTTAGTTCTTTGAGATGAAGTAATGGTTAAATATTTCAGAATTACGGTTCAAATTTAAATTAAACAAAAAAAATTGTATCTTCTCTATTTTTGAATTTTTTTTAAATTCTTTTGGAAATAGTAATAGTTTGATAGTTCAGATTTTTCGATCGAATAATTAAGCTGAAAATCTTTAACGTTTTTAAACTTATATGCACATCAATTTCGGCTTACCGAATTTTGCTTTCTTTCTTGTTTTTAGTAGTTATAGGTTTATTAAGTCCTTTGCGGACACTCTGCGGCTGCTCGGCCTCTGTTCCGCTGCTTTTCCGGAAATTGCTGATGTGAACTCAACATTGTTGCGCAGGGGTGCTCACGCCTATGCACAATGTGCACAATTGTTTTTACAAAAATGCATTTTTGAAATGTGTTGGTAAATCCACTGCCGTAAGTCAGACAGAACGAAAGAACTGTTAGCGGGGGGTCTGGGTGCTGCACGCTCTTTGGTGTTGGCTATGCAAAACAAAAATTGGTTTAGCAGAAATAACGGCACAAGTGTTAAAATAAAAATGTAAAAAATCAATCGACCAAAGACAAAACTTCAACCTCGCACCGCGGACAAAAATTTTAAAGGGAAGCGAAGAGGCCCGAAGTATACTTCGGTAACTTTTCGAACAATGTGAGAGAGAAATTCTCTTCCAATTTTTATCTCTTTTAATTTTTTTTAAGTTTTAGACTAATTTCATCTCGAGTCCAAGATCTTCTATTCTCGAGTTCAAGATATTTTCTTCTCGTTTTCAAGATATTTTCTTCTCGATTAGCGAAATCGAGAACAAAAATAAAAATTTCTCCTCGATTTTAAGAACGTTTTTTTCTCAAAAAAAGTAAGAAGTAAACATACTGAAATAGAGCAGAAAATATGCAAATTGAGGATATGTTTTGAATTTGAGAAACAATTTTCTTATAATGAGAAAAACGTTTTCAAAATCCATGGTCGAGCGGTCTCAGATGTGCGGATCCGGAAGTCGACTCCCAAATATTGACGTCCCGAGTTCACTTCGATTTCGATTGTGTGATTTCGTGTTTTTATACCCTTGTAGAGGGTATTATAATTTCAATCAGAAGTTTGCAACGCAGTAAAGGAGACATCTCCGACTCTATAAAGTATATATAAAGAGTGTCTTTTCTTTAAAAGGAAAATTGACCTGTAAGCGGCCCAGAAAAATAATTGGTTCAAGAGACAAGTGTAGCAAGTATTGAAAACGAAAACATATTAAAAACACTATAACACACCCACTTTTCCAAAATAATAATAAGGTTAATGCATAGCATTAAAAAAATCCCATCAAAATATTTTGCCTTGTTTGAGAGTTATTAATTTAAAACAAAAAAAAGTGCAAGAGTATCAGGCCTAGCGCCTTTATGCACCGCTCGACGATGTACGACAGTTCCGAACCATTCACCATTTGTAATGGTTGCAAATCCGTTGTAAGACGATCCAGCGCTTGCTGATGATCACCGTTGTATCCTCCGGAGTACCAGGGTCGAATGGTCATCTTCCGTTGGCTGTGTCCTCTACATATTGTAGCAAGTGGTGACGATTGTGAGAAATCCTGCATGTTCACTTAGACTCACAACTGCGTGACACATGCCCAAACTTCAGGCAAATAAAGCACAAGGATTTAGCTTCACCAAATGTGCGTCTCTGGTCGACCGATAAATTAACAGACTTCTGGCTGATGTATACATATAAATCATGAGATCTTGGACTTTTCCGTTGATACCAAAGCGTGTAACGATCGCTTGGCTTTGTTTTGTTGTGGACCAACTTGGAAAACTTTTTCAGGTTCACTTTTTCTGAGTTTTGGGCGTCAATCTTGTCCAGAATGATATGTATGATCCAGCAATCCCTGTTAGTTTGACCTGCTGCACCTAAGCCGCGTACAATCTCTGTAGCTCCGTCTGTCCCCTTGCGCAGAATTGTAACCTCTGCTCTGAATGACGTATGTACATAAGTACCCACATTTATTTAGCAGAGTGTTGACAATGTGACGTGGTCTGTTGTAGCGCTCAATTAGGCAAGTCCAAGCAGAGTGGTAAGCAGCATTCATTATTGGAATATAACGTATCAAAAGCAGCTTCTTCCGTGTTGTAAGTAACTGTTTTCAAATAGTGGAACTTTTGAATCGGTGTCAAATGCTGCTTGCTCTGAATCGTACTTTCAAAGATGTTATTGAATGCTGGACTAGTAAAAGTCTTGACTCTGATTAAGAATATATATATTTTATTGGATCGAAAATGTATCCATACTTAAGTTGCAATTTTTTGACGAAAGTATAATGTCTTCTGCAAGAATATAAAAACCAAAAAAAAAAAAAAAACTAAACACAAACTAAAATAATACAAACAAAAATTAAAGCAAACTTCGGCAAGCCATGTCTATATAACCTATATAGCCATAGCTATGGTAAAATGCATATATTTTTTAAAATAACTTTAATCAGATTTTTATGCAAGTATAGCATTGAAACTATAATTTCCGATAAATTTATACGACCGTTTCTATAGCAGCTTTACTACATATATATAGGCTCAGAAATGTATACTACATTAAAAACTTCTGATTGAAATTATAATACCTTCTGCTAAGGTATAAAAAGGTTGTTTTGTTTGTTGTTTCTTAACATTTTTAAATTGTTTGAATAATAATTTAGGTTTGCCAAGTTATAGTGCATACATTGGGTCTTCAGCGTTATTCTAGAAACTCTTTTTTTTAAACTGAAATAAAATCTTCAAGTCTTTAAGCCTAATTTGCTTATTGTTGTATTATATTATTTTATATTGTGTTTACTGTAACTGCAATTTCCAAAAAACCAATTTTTAAAATCCTGCGAGAGACGATAGCTAAATGTTTTTCTATGTGAGAACATTTTTTTCCAATTAAAGTTTTTCCCACACTTTATAATTTTACCACCTATAATCTGGTCAACACTTTATTGTTGAGTTAAAACATCTTTGACATTTCATAGTTTTTTGTTACTTTTAGTTTATGGTTTTTATTTGTATTTCCTTTTTAATTTTTTTTTTTGCTTAAACAAACAGGAAACAATTAACTTAGCATTATTTTATATAATTAGCATTAATTAGAAATAATAAAAATATTGAAGCTTTTTGTTTTTTTTTTATCCTTTTCTATTGTTTTTATAATGTTTTTATGATAAAGTTTACAATCATTTGTTTAAATGGTACCGTTTATTCAAATAGATGTACGCGTGTATATACATTAAAGCAGCAGGGAGCGGTCGCGACCCATAGCCAAACCATCCTTAATATATATATCGCTATATAAGTAGTTGCTATTTGGCGTTGTCGCGAAAGCGCTCATATTTCCACTCTTTGTTACAACAAATTTAGTTAATTCGACTACTAAATATACATGTTACACAATGTCGCATAATGCTTTTCTGCTGTTTTGTTGTTTTATTTTAATTTACTTGATTAATGTATAATTCCATCATTTGTTTTTACGTTTACCCTTTTATTTGGATCTCTTTAAGTTTACAATTTTCTTATTAATTTCTGTTTATTTTTCGCATTTTTTATGTACATAAAAACAAAAGGAACTATATCTTTCAGTCTTTTTAGTGTGTGGTGTGTGTGTAATGTATGTAAATGTGTGTATGTGTGTCTGTGTGCAAGGGTTTTTGTGTTACGTATCTATTGTTTCGTTATGCATATAGCGTATTACATAGTTAAATTAATATAATTGTTTTTTTTTGTTTATATTTTATGTAATTTTTATTTTAGTTTTCAGTGTAAATATCGCTTGCTTCCCAGTTTTGTTTATAAAATTAGCACTAATTGTTTTTTCCTATTTTTATTTTATACATCAAAATTAGTTATAGGTTTCCTCCGGCTTACCGTTTACCTATCTCTCCCACTATTCTCGTTACAATGCCTATGATCTAAGTAACTTGTATAATTCATTTAAATATTTAGTTTCCTTGTTTTTGCTTTGCATTTATTAAATATAAAAAAAACATTGCAGATGCGTGAGTTTTTGTTTATTTCTGCTTTTCTTTGCTTTATTTTAGTAATTTAATATACGTGTTTGTATAGTTTAATATATTATAATATAAAGAGCGAAGGCAAATATCGAATACTTTTCTTGTAGTTGTTTTTTGTTTAAAAATTCCATTTGTTGCAGTTTTTGTGGATAATATAAATGTTTTTTCTGTTGCAGAAGTGGGTTAGGTTATTGCTTATTTCAGTTTTTCAAGAGAATGTTTTATGCTTTTGTGATTGATTCATGAAACTGGGTTGGACTTCGAGTTCCGTTTCTCCCCTGGAAGTCGGAGAACTGTCAGGATAGTACAGTCAGCAAACATATCACGTTCAGTTCTTAATTATGTGTAAATATGGTGTATATGGTATATAATTTGTCTATTGTTTCTTCTAAGAGCTATTGTTGAATAACTAAATTAAAGAAAAACGAAATCCCTCCGGTTTCTTTTTCATATTTGAGTAAACGGGGTGTATGGCAGATTTTGTTTTAGGTTTAGTGAAAAATGTGGTGCCGTTCTATTAATTAGTATACAAAAAGTTTTAGCTTTGTATATAGCAAGAGTTGTTTAAAAACAACAGCAGATTGTATACAATAAGTATGATGCATCAGTTACTTAAGCTCTCAGTTTGAAGTTACGTTATGGTTTCCTCTTTCTTTTAATCCTTTTAAGCTTGGCTTCAATAAAAATTAGTTTAGATGAAAAGCAAGAAAAGTTGTTGGTTTGCGTCTGCTTTTGCTAGATAGTGTTGCAGCTATACCAGAGCAGATCAAACTTTAGCCAGTTACCGTTTGTGATTCGCTTCAATTAAAATTTCTATGTACAGGGGCGGGTTGAAAATAAATAGTAAAACTACGCATAAAAAAGAGAATTATAAGTGAAATGTGAAACATCAAGCAATTTAAAACTTGTATAAATTAAACAAAAAATCACGGGGTATAAGCGTGCTAAAATTGAAAGCATTGTAACATGCACTAAAAATTATCTGAGTACATTTAAATTTAGTTATACATATGTAACTGATATATAGATAACTATAAATATCTCTAGCTAACTCAGTGAAGACAGTTGTTGTTTTGTTTTTGTATTGCTTGTTTGCTGTTTTAAAGTTAAACTATTTCTGTTTTTACTGTGGTTCCATTACGTTCTGTTATTTTTCTCTTACACTCGAATTTCTCTCTGCAATTTGGTAGGTACTACAAATTATCATAATTAATATACGTAAAAATTATGAGTTACAAGTTATAATTGGTAGAATTTGTATGTCTATTTAAACGGTACTTAGGTTGGTTGGTTGTTGGCTTTTGTACTTTTGTTATTTGCATGTAGGACTTGTTTTGCTTTTGTGTTTTTCTAGTTTTCCTCCGTTTTTCTGCTTTCACTAACGGCTCTAGTTCATTCATATAAGCAAACAAAATATGTATAGTAAATACTAAACGAATACATAAACATAAATAGGCTTATTCAAAACTATAGGTATTATACATGATGCGGTCAGGATAGTTCGATGTTTTGAAGAAAGAATCGAGTAAGCTGTACGCAATATTGTCTGGTTCCTAGCAATTCACCTGTGGTTTTAATAGATTCGTTAGTGGTTTTCATACGAACCGAAAATTAGGAAAATGGAAAAGCAAGGTGTAATTTTTTCAGTTCGGATCGAAATCAAGAACAATCGTGAATTTTAAAGAGGATTTACAAATAAATGTATTATCCTTATTATTTAATAATTTGATCAAAATAATAAGAGACTAAAATTGGTTTTTGTTTTTGTAGGCTTCATTGCTGAAAAGTCCGTCTCTACTTATACCTACATACTTTTCTTCAGTTCAAAATATTCCCACCTTGGTTTGCAGGCATAGGGAAGAATCAATATCATTGAAGCTTGGGTTGCGTCAAAAGATTGCTACTCTATATCTTTACGGCTTCCACTTATATGTAAGTCCTTCAAGCTCGTCTATTTACAAAACTACTATTTATTTAACTACAGAACTCAGCGATTACGTATCCCTTCCGATGAAACCATTGGGGGGTGGAGGCCTCGACGTGCCCGCCGGCCGCAACCAGCTCTCCTTGAGAAGGTTTGACATGTTGCCCACTCCTGACGTTCCGACTCCTGAGTTGGGATTAGTGGGCGACTTCCTCGATTGGCTAACACTGCGACTGCGAGGCGGATGAGACTTGCTGGGCACCGCTTTCTGCCTGGGTCGACTTAGCGGCATGCGTTCCATCTTGATGTGCTCCACATGCTCATCGTCCACGTCTTCATCCTCGTCCTCGTCGTCCTCATCCTGCTCGTTGTCCTCGTCAGAACTACTTTGGTGTGCATTCAACGGCGCCTGCATTGGCTGGTAGTTCGGATTTTGGCTAATGGTCACTCCCGCCATCTGAACTGGTGGCTCTTTCATGGGAACATAGTTTGGGTTGGCGCTGATTTGACCTCCTTGTGGATGCATCATCTCATAGTTTGGATTGGGACTGCTGGTCGTGAGGATGGTGGGTTGTTCACTGGCCATCGGTCCCATCAAGTCTAATGCTCTGTAGCTGGGATTATCACTGATGACGACACCGCCGCTTCCACCGATGGGCGTGGCCGAGGGGGTATAGAAGCGGGGCGTGCCTGTATAACTACCCGCCGAACCACTGCCACCACTTTCGATGGTTCCCAGATTGCCCATGGCCACCGGGTGACTCGTCAAGTTTGAGTTGCTGCTAGTACTCGGTGCATTGGAGGCATTGCTCTTATAACTGGCATTGCTCCCTGTGCGCTTGTGATTGAAAAGATGGCGGTTAATCATGTTGGCTTGATTACGCAGAGTATCCGCCACCACTCTTTTGAGATAGCGTCCTGTGTGAGAACTGGCATTGGAACTGGCGGCCGAAGCCGTCGAAGGCTGCAATGAAGATCCACCGATGACTTCATCCGGCATGGAACTGCTGATGATGACAGGCTGCCGTCCTTTTCTTGGTAGCAAATGTTGCTCTCCACTCAATTTTCCACCGCCACCAGTGCTACCACTTCTGCTCGTTGGCAGTTCCGCGCATTTTGGACTCGGATCGTAGATCTCATATCCCCTCTCAACGCCCAAAGCCTCCGGATCTGGCTGAACGTAGGCCGCTGCATCATCACTTGCCATTGGTTGGCTCTGAAAAGCAGTTGGCATCGCATTTTGGCCATCGGGAGTACTGCTCGCGATGAATCCCGACTGCAGGCTGAACGGCGAGTGGGTCGCCTGGTCATCCACCAACGCAATTGGGCTCTCAGCCGGTTGATCTAAGGATGAATTTTGATCCATGTTGGATTTGTAATCGCCCATTCGCAAGGGTGTAGTTGCATCCTCCTGCTGTTCGACGTCCGGCTGATCCTGATCTAAGGGGACCGCCGCAAATGCATCCAGCTGACTGCGCTCCTTTCTCTCCTTTTCGCGGTGGTGCAGACCCACCTCCGAGTGATAGAAGGAGACATCCTTGAAGTCCGAATCGGGACATTGTTGCTCGAGATACGCAATAATATCAAGGAAACTGGGTCGGGCCGATGGCCTATGATGCCAGCACCTTTGCATTAGGCGATGGAGCAAATCTGGACAATTCTCCGGTCTCTCCATCACTCCGCCTTCAATGACGAACCGCAGCACTTGCTCGTTGGAAAATCCTTGATATGGCTGCGCCGCCAAAGTTGCCATTTCCCATAGAACCACGCCGAAGCTGAACACATCACTGGCACTGGAGTAGACACCATCTCTTAGGCTCTCCGGTGGCATCCATCGCACTGGTAGCAGGCCTTTGGTTCCCTTGCGATAATAATCCGTTTCGTAGACATCCCGGGTCATGCCAAAGTCACCAATTTTTACTGTCAAATCCTCGGCCACCATACAGTTGCGTGCGGCAAGGTCACGATGCACAAACTTTTTGGCCGCCAAATATGCCATGCCGTCCGCAATCTCAATGGCCATTTGGTAAATCCTTCCATAAGTTGGCGGCTGAACGTTTCCAGTTACACCAATTCGATTAAGATACGCCATCATGGCTTCATCCCGTTCCTCTGGCCGATGGGCTCGCAGATAGGACTTGAGGTCGCCCTTCTTCATCAGCTCCATGACCACTAAAGCGGGCTGACCCCTCGAGCAGACTCCCAGTAAACGAACCACGTGGTAGGTGTCAAATTCCTTCATGACACTCGCCTCACTCAGAAAATTGGTTCGCTCGCGATCCGTGGCATTTTCGTTAACCGTCTTGATGGCACACTCCCGATCAACGCCATTGCCGGACATGGCCTTTAGAATACCCTCGTACACCATACCAAAGGATCCCTGGCCAAGAGGAGCCAGCTGGATAATGTTCTCCCTCAGCACCTCCCAATCGTCGGGGATATACTGCATGCTCGCATAGAACGGATTTACTTCTGTGTTCATATGGAGTTCGTTGGAGGGACCTTTCTTACGTAAATGCCGGACGTAGGCCATTAGGATGGCGATCAACAGTGCACCGGCTAACCCGGAAAACCATATAAAGTACTTTCCATAGCTCAGTGGGGCCTGTTTGGGATAGAGATAGAAAGTATATTTCAGTGGAAATTACATTGTAATATTCTTATCATTATTAATTTCTGATTTTCTCCACATCCCTAAAGATGTAGTCCCTCCCTAAACGAAAAGTTTTTGCACAGGAAGGAAGCGCTTCCACCCCATTAAAGTATAAATATTTTTGTCGATCTAGCCTTGTTAATTTCAAAACGTTGCCGCGCCCACTCTTTAAAATCTGATAGCTGAGTAACGGGTATGGGTCGGGGGACTCGACTGTAGCGTTATTTCTTGCTTGAGTTGAATTTAGTTGGAATACGACCTTTTAAAGTAGATCCTTTTAACCTAAACAGTAGGTTAGTCTATACTGAGGTAAAAACTGTGATGCGATTTCTCTCTTTAAAAACGGTCACCAAAAACCGCCAAATAAAATAAGAAAGAGTCTATATAATCTTTGCCAGTTTACGACATGCATCAGAAGTCGGACATTAGCATGATTAGCATGATCATTAAGGATCAAAAACGCTTTCTTCTATTATTAATTTAAAGAATCAATTTACAATTTACAAATTTGTTGTTAAAATCTACATGAATTTCCCCATACTTCAAAGAGTTTTCCATTTAGAGATTACGGTCTTTGTAGGGATGTTTTTCTTAGTCCAAAATCTATAATTCAAATTGACAGCATCTACTGATAACCCAGGTACTCGTTTTCGCCTATATATACATTTTCTCTCGACGTTAAAAACTTTTTTTTTAAGCAAAAAAAATGCAAACTCCGAAAAGCCGAAGTTTATATATCCTAGCAGCTATTACAAGAATTAATTATTCTTAAAATCAACTATAATTTCATTTGGCGATTTTCCACTGTATGCGAAAATCGATGTCCGTTCTTAATACAATTGGAATCGTTTACAATAACAATATTAAATTATTATTATATTTCAAAGTAAATGTCTATAAATTGAAGCAGCAAAGTTATATTCTTTAATTATTTTTACGAATGTTCTTATGGGAGCTGTTTAGAATAGTCGATCGCAATGGCCAAATATACTACCTGTTATCTGACAAAGTAATGCTTATGATTCATATGTATATGTCGGATCGAGCCGAATCGGACGACTATAGCGTATAGCTCTCATAGGAACAGTCGGAAAAATAATGAAAACAAATTATAACTTAAATTATTAAATTATTAAATATTACAGATTTACGGTTTTAATTTTAATAAAATCTGACGACTTTATCATGTAGCTCTCATGGAAACAAACAATATATAAAAAAATAAATATAAACAAAATGTATCTTCCCAATTTTTTAATTTTTTTTTTTAATTCATTTTGACATAGTAATAAATTGATAGTTCAGAATTACGCTTTTAATTTTATTATCGAATATCGGTATATCTGTCATAGGAACGATCGAATAAAATGAAAATTGTCAAAACTTCAATGTTTTAAAACATACATATACGCATATAAATCGAATTTTAGATTTTTTAAAGAGTATTAAATTTTCAAAAACCTTATTATAGCTATGAAGAAAAATATAAAAAGTTTCAGAAAGAATCACATAAAAATTTTGTTGATCAGGATCAATAGCCGAGTCGATCTAGCCATGTCCGTCCGTCTGTACATCTGACTGTCCGTCCGTATCAACGTCAAGATTTATTTCTACAAATACATTGTACTCTACCGAGAAAAACAAAAAAAAAGTATCCCAACACTGTTTATTTATCGATCGCAACTCTGTCTTAAAACAAATCAGGGGGGAGAATTATGGTAAATAGCTGACGGATAACCCCATTTCGTTTGGATAAAATAATTGCATAGCCCACCTCCACTTCTCTGTATTCCGGGTCAGTGAATAAGCCGTATCCCGCTAGTGAGTTGGCTCGCACCCGGAAGCTGTATTTTCCTTCGTTTAGTTTCAGCGGGTAGCCGAAGGTCTGATTAAAACTCTCCACAGGGATGCACTTCTTTTCTTCCACTTGGTCAGGTTTCTGCAGCCTGTAGGCCACTTCATAAGTGACAATTTCGCCATTAGGATCGGCAGGTGGTTTCCAGAAGATCCGCACCGAAGACTCCGTGTTATTGGCAGGTTCTAGACTTACAATTAGGTCTGCAGCGTCGTCAGCATGTTCTAAAAAATAAATAATCATTAATTATAAATTAAAAAGAAATCAAGTTATACAAGATGAACACCAGAAAATCCTAACTTCCTGATAGGGGGATCCAGTGTACCATGTAAACCAATATTGGTGAAAAATCTAACTCAGGATTTTTGACATACTAAGCCATTTTTTGTAACAAAAAAAGCCAATTATTAAAAACAACGGAAAACAACAGTTAAAAAAAATAACAAAGTTTAATGTTTTCGTTCAAGATAGAATCGAGAGTAGGTACTTCGTGTTGTCAAAAGGCATAACATTTTTTATCATATAATATTTTAAATAACACAAATGTTACGTGTTACGTGGAGGTCGTGAACAGGTTTTTAAAATTGCAAACACACATATGTACATTAAAATATTTTGCATGACTATCAAGGCTCCTGTTTTCTACCATTCAAGGTTTTTAGCCCCAATATGCGTCAGATTTTGTAACGTATAGCCCTTAAAAACAAATGTTTTTGAGACATATTGAACAAAACGATTGTTAGTAGTTGCTTAGAAATAAAACAGAGACGTAACTTCTAGACTGTGAGAGGGGCATATTTACCCAATAAAATGGGTTTTTGTCCAGTTTTACTTATAAACTGCTTACCATTTTTTTAAAAACAGTTCTTAAATAAACTACAATTATTTTGTCCACTTACCCTTTTTTTTGGTGGTTGGAAAGACAGGATCATATTTACTGCAGAACGGGCCTTTATCCCTATCACCAGCCATTTCTTTTCTACAGGCTACCACAAAGATGGTGTAGCGGGTGAAGTGGCGCAGATTGTTAAAAACAAAAGACGTTTGATTGGGCGGCAATTCTTTCGCAAACACCTCATAGAACTTTCCATTTGTAGACAAAGTTGCCTCATCCTTATAGGTGGTCTCGTTATTCTTTTCGGAGCTAGTTTCGGAATTATCTGTGAGAGAGCGCACATGGCGGAGCAGTACACTGCCGTGCATATCATCCAAATCAGGCTCTAGGGCGATGTCTCGTTTTCGACGGATTGGATTCTTAGCTCCAATAGCATTTGCAATACCATTGGAGTTAAGGGCTGCATCTTGAGCTGCATCTTTGTTCATATCTTGTTCTGTTTTGCCCATTCGCATCCTCGGAACGAAGATAAAGTTTTGTAGCGCGTTTTCAAACCCCATGCCGGCTTGACGGAACCGGTCGTCATAGTCCTGGTTGCTGGTCTTCTTGGAGCCCTCTACGCACTTGCAGTCACCAGACAACGGATCCGGTGTTTTTTTGGTAGGAGTTGTCGCCGGCAGCTCGTTGTCCATAGCCTTAGCAAGTGCTGCAAATATAAACATTTTTATTTATTACTTCAGACTTCATGTTTCGGTTAAACTAGGTGGTAATTCTTAATATTGTTTAAGCTTACGTTCAGTACAGTAATCCCGGTTGATGTTTCGGGATGGTCGGCTAATCAGTTTTGCTTTTATGAAGAAGCGTGTCAGTTCACCGTTAGGATTACTGTTGTAGCTCCAAGTAACGTTCTGTATATGAAAGAAAATTAAGTTCATTAATTGTAAATAACAATAAAAACAACTGAAAAAAATGACGAAATGAACTTAACGTAAACAAAACCTAACGGGTACAAACTCGCCCAGGAGAAATAATGGACAAAGAAGGTGGACGAGGACTTACAAGGACTAAGCGGAGCCAACAATCTCAAATATCAGAGAAGGCTCAAAACCTTCTGCTTCACAACAATTTAAAGCTAAGCGGATGCAACTTGATTTTGACAAGATTGTAGAAGATGACAGCATCAGTGACGACTCATCACTTATGTATTGTGGTACGATTATAAATCCCATACAAACACTATTTTGTTTTAATGATATCGATTAAATTCGAAACAATTTGCTATTCTAGAAATTTCTTGAAAAAATAGGTGTCTTCGCAAAGCTACTTTGTAAAACATTTTCAAAAACTTAAATCTGCAGATCCAAAGATTATTATGTTCCACGAACGGTTAGGTCAAACCATAAAGGCAGCAACATTTCTTGGATTCTGTCACAATAAAGTTCTAGACACCACACTAATTGTCTCAAGTCCAGACCAAATCTAAGTACTACTGTATAGCTTAAAGCATTGGGTGTCGACAAGCGTTGGGAATATACATCCCAAAATAAGCTCTGTACATTTGGTCAAGATAGAAATCACATTTTGAAAGACTGAAACGTAAAGCAGCCAACTGAATATTCAATATAAACTTTTTGTTCCATAAGGGCAAAAACCTAGCCTAGACATCAAAATTCCTTACACTTACTGCAACATTTATTTTCGTTGTAACAACGCGTTACTAAAAGTTATGCCCGTCACACAATAGGACCTCAAAAAACAATCGACACATACGCTTTGCTAGACGATGCTTCGACTTTTTAATTAATTGATGAGCAACTAGCGACTGAAAAATCTTTTAAAAATGCACTGGACTAACAACGAGGTGTATGAGCAAGCGGACTCCAAGGAAGTTAGTGGATATCAAAAGTAAAGTTCAAGTTAACATAAACAAAACCAGTCGTTGACAATCCGCGACCAGGCACGTTAAGCTACCTAAAACAACAAAAATGAAAATACTGCCATCTGACACTACTTCAATTCCGCACATTCTTAACAAATGTATCGCACTCAACCTTTTCAGTTTCGAAAATCTAAAAAAAAATTAATACAATTTTTAAAAACAACTAACTTAATCTAATTAAAAATATATTAAATTATAATTAAGCAACCTGGCCGAAAGTTTAAGCAGCTATGGCCGAAACCCACAAACAGAGTCCAACACATAAGGTCTATCATGTCGCAGAGTGAAGTGACAGACGAATTAAGTGATTTGAAATATACTTGAAAATTGGAACCTACATTCCAAATCTGAATCCTAAATCAATAGCTTTTGTAGTTTCATAACTTTGTTGCTACCCATACACAGAGCTCGAGATATTGTTACTTATAACATACATTTTTCCTATTAGTGCATAGGGAATATAATAATCTTCGGCATACCGAAGCTTTCTTCCTTTCTTGTAAAACTTTAAAATGCCATACTCACAATTTTTGAGTCGGAGACGGCAGTGGCCACAACGTCCGTCACCTTCGACGGTTGGCCAGGGCTTGTTTTGAAGTGCTCAACCTCACTCTCAGCGTTGGTCGGCTCTGAGGATATGGCCATTGTGCGAACGTAGTAGGCGTACCATGTATAAGGTTTTAAGTCGCTTATCCATAATTCACCGCTCTTTTCGGGAGAGCTGACCTTCCAGCGATCGTCACATGGATCGTCACTGCTCTTGGTGGCGGTCTTATTCGGATCGATCATATGGTAGAAAACGAAACCGATAAAGGCCCGAGGGTCCTTGAAAATTACCGTCGCATTAGAAGGCTTTTGGGGATCACCTATCTCCACCTTCGACGTGACCTTTAACATGGCGAATTCAGACGAAATAGATTGCGCTGTGACGTTTAGAATGCCAGTCCCACCTGTGAATATAATCATACCGATTAGTTTTTGCCAAACGATGAAACGATGTATTGTTCTAATAAAGATTAAAGAGGAAACTTTTATCTCCAGCATCGATCGTGATAACTCACAAGATCCACGGTTTCCGTTTGAGTCTGTTGCAACGTCGCGCTTGTCGAAGAACTCGGGCTTGGAAGCCAGCATGGGCAATAGCTTGTTGATCGTGGATACACAAAGTTTTGGATTGAAATGAAAAAAGACACCGCCATTCCTAATAAAAACCGTTTGGTTGGGGTTCCAGAGCTCTTCCAGGTCGCGGTTTTCCAGCACATACAATGCGAACTTTTCTTTGTCCGTCAGCCACTGGCCGCTAATCTCAGTCAAGGACTGAAAGAATTTTAAAGATTTCAGGCCGTAGGTTAGGTGAACCATTAGGGAGCTTTCAATTCTATGGACGGCAGAGAGGCTATTTGTCAATTCTTGCATGACGTGAGCTGGAAAAGAAAATTTATATGTATATATATAAATTAAATTGGTAACCTTTTTTAAACCAATATATATTTTTTTTTTTTGTTATAGAGCTAAGTCTAAGAACATTTATAAACAACTTACCACCGCTTTCACGCTTGATACTGATAATAAGGGCACCTTTTCCGGTTAATATGGTGCAGCCGTGGAACTTTCGCGCCCGCTCTAAGCTGTCGATTAACTCGGCAGGACACCTCTTCTCGCACTTGCCACCAGGACAGGGTACGCACGTATAGTTTGCGATTTGGTAACCCGTTGGACAGCGATGGGTGCATTTCCCTTCGTAGGGGACCGACGGAAACTCTTGTTCAGATTCAACCTTTGATTTCTTCAAGCACTCCTCCGCCGTAATGCAACGGCTTTCGTACTGCAAAAAAAATATAATATATTTATTCACACTGCGGCATTTAAAGAATAGGCCTTACTCGATAAAAGTTTTTCGGACAGGTCTCCACACAGATGTTGTTGAAGGACACATTTCGACAGCCGATGCACCTTTCGATCCCATTCCTATCTCTGATGCAGCCACCCAAACAGTCCTTGTGGCAGCATGTGTGCTCATCAATGCAGTTGTTTCGGCACTCGGCGGGACAAACTTAAGAACCAAGAACGGTAAATATTAGTAAAATGAAATTTTCTGGCCAAATTTCAGTTCTTTTGGTCAACTCACTTGTCTGGCAACTTTTGCTATCCCAGCAGAAACGCGTTTGATTAGACGAATACTCCCGACAACTGGCGTGAAGCTCTCCGCCGTTTGAATTTTGATCCTCTCCAATTCTCACCTCCCCCGGGCACTTAGTGTCCTTGCAATCCTGCGGCTTGGCGTTCTCCAATAGCACAACTTGAAACTGTGAGTCGTTCTCCGACATAATGTGCTGCCAGTCGATAGTCTTATCAAAACACAGTTTTTGATTCTTCTCAATTCGTACACCACCGTTTGCTATTGATCGCAGCTTGGTTAGCCCCAAATCCGTAAGGTCCATATTGGAGTAGACGATAAAGGCGTAACCGTCAAACAGTTTGAGGCCTCTAATGAGGCTTAGATTGGGGAAAATCTTCGACAGAGAGTGCAGCCCGGAAACGTGGTAGATAATAACGAATTCAGTCACCTCGGTTAGTCTTGGAAACGATTTGTTCAGTGGGCTGACGTCGTTTATTAAGTCGATCAGAAGAAAGCCCTCAATGACCGTACAGTTCTCCAGTTGGTTGAAGTTAGAGGCCAGGTTCTTAATATCCATCGATTTGCAAGCTGTAAGGTTGAAAGGAAAACTATTAGTTTCTGACGGCAGATACCATGGTATTGGTCAGTCTCAACTTAAAACAAAATAACAACAAATAACTACACAGGGGTGCTGCAGAAATCAGTTCAGCTTTAACTCCGACCTAATTCAATTCATGGCCTTATGACATCACTTTGTTGGGCTCATTTTGTATACCATTGCAGAGGAGATTATAATTTTACTCAGAAGTTTGCAACGCAGTGAAGGAGACATTTCCGACCCTATAAAGTATATATATTCTTGATCAGCATCACTAGGAGAGTCGATCTTGCCATGTCCGTCTGTCTCTCCGTCCGTCTAGTCTCTCAGTTTTAAAGCTATCTGCATGAAACTTTCCCAAAAGTTGTCTTTCTATTGCAGGTAGTACATTAGTCGGAACGAGCCGGATCGGACGACTATAGCATATAGCTCCCATAGGAACAATCGGTAAAATAAATAAAAAAAATTACAGCTTTGCTTACAACAAACAGTAATGATTAAATATTTCAGAACTACGCTTTAAATTTCATCAAAATCTGATATAGATATGGGATCTACAAACAATACAAATAATAAAAAACATGTTTTTTTTAATATACATTTTTTACTTTGTAATTTTTTTAAAAATTCCTTTAGACTTTTTAATAATTTGACTGTTTAGAATTACGATTTTTATTCTATTAAAATCGGAAAACGATATTGAATAGCTGCTACAGAAACTATAGAATAATTGAGCTGCACATCATCACAGCTTCAATGCTTTTAAACATTACGCAAGTAAATCATAATTTTATTGTTTTAAGAATATTTAATTTTTGAAAAAGCTGCAAGGGTATATGAACTTCAGCTTGCCGAAGTTTGCTTCCTTTGTTTTTCAACGCTTTTCTCAGACTTTTCGATTTAACGTTATTGCGAGCCAGTAAAGTTTTGTAAAGTTTTGCTCATTTTTTGGAGTTTTGGACAGAACGAATTGCAATGCAGAGGCTAATTTAATGTGTTTTAAAAACATTTTGCAACTAAAATAGGGTAATATAATATTTTATACAACGGTAAATTAATCAGTGCAAGCCCGAAACCGTTTCAAAAGCAGAATAAATATTAAAACTCTGTTGGGTTCGAAGAAAATAGAAAAGGTATAAAAAAATATTTTTAACATTTAAAGGTTAAAATTGCAAACCTTTTAGAGTTAAAATCAGGCAGATAAACATATTTCAACAATAATGTTTTCATCCAACGTTTAAAAGCAAGGTTGACCGTGGACTTTTTACTAACAAAATCGCAAGCAATATGTAGTTGACCGAAAGCGAGCAACTCGAAAAAGGTGATTCGCTCAGACAGAGATCGTGTGCTTTTTGTCAATATGCATACTGCGTTGGGTAAATCGGTTAAATTCGCGAGCTCTGCTTTATAAGCTTCAATGGATCCGTCAGTGAATAAAATCGTCAGTGTCATAGCGCCGTCAGCTGTGCGACTGCCCTCCTTTTTCCGCTGACTTAAAATCGCTGACTATCAGCTTTTTGACTAACTGTTCCAATAAAACTGGGTTGAGACATGAAGACTCGTATCTTTCCACAAAGGTTTCATAATTTCAGATTATCCATAACCAATTGAACACTAAAAAACTCAAGTAATTGAAATAAGTGTCTTAGTAAATCTTAAACGAAACCGTTAGATCACTTCGTTACTTAAAAGTATCAATCAACGGACTCTCCATCGATGTCAGTCCGATTCGGATTATCAAAGTTAGTGCCAGGACCATTACCTTTTAGTTCGAGTTAGAAACAGATCTTTAAGACCAAAATATGTTGGGGACCTTATTTTACATTTCATTTTGGCAGCTAATTGTGTTAAAACAATTGACAGGATTTTTCCTTAGCCAAGAAATGCCATATAATGGCATTACTCACAGAAAAACTATTCAAAAATTATGAGAACTCGTTAGTACATTTATCTAACTGTTTTATGGGGGTTTCTAAATTGTGGACTCAAAAAATAAACTTACTTAGGAAAAGAAGAAAATATTTTTTACATTGGTAGATTTTTTTTATAAAGAAATCGATTATTTGACTTCTTTTTATAGATAACTGTCTTTAGAACACACGAAATTTCAATTCAAAATCTTGCAAATAACGAGCAAAACTTTGTAAGCGTACTCTAAGTGATTCAAGACAGACGATTTCAGCACTAGTCACGATGTTTTCACAATTATTTCATATGGAATAATGCTTAAGGAAGAAATATTAACAAGAAAGAAAGTAAAATTCGGCAAGCCGAAGATCATTTAGCCTTGCAGCTATTACAAAAACTAAATATTCTTGAAAACATTAAAATTATGATTTACTTGCGATATGTTTAAAAACATTGAAGCTATGATGATTTGAAGCTTAGTTATTCGATAGTTCCTATGGCAGCTATATGATTAATAATAAGTCAAAAAGAATTAAAAAAAATATTACAAAATAAAAGTTACATTAAAAAAAAAATGTATATATTTTTATTGTTTCCATGAGAGCTATATGATATAGTCGTCCTTTTTGAATGAAATTTAAACCGTAATTCTGAAATATTTAAACATATCTATATGTCGAAGAACTAAAGCTCCCCACAAATCCGGACGCAGAAATCGTGCGAGAATGCTGGAGAAATAAAGGGCTTCCAGATCAAACTGTAAACAAACTGATCTTGGACCCACGCAAAGCCGAGACACTGTGAACTACACCGCACGGGCCACGAGCTCAATCGATTAATAGGCGGACTTTGGCGGACTGCAAAAACAGGACGCAGTGGATCTTGGACATGACATACACAGGCTATACACAGTGCGAGAATGAGAGCGAATGTGTGTGCGCAAAATCAGCTAGAACAAATATTGTCAAGTGCCAGGAGTCTACGGATCAAGATGGCAAGGTCGAGACGCCGAACGACCCAATATAAATTTGGTTGTACGAGCCCACAACCTCTCTGGTCTAGCCGCACATTTACATACATACATAGCGATCAAGACATAAACATTAATTCTTTACAGATGGACAGATACTTATCTTTCGCTAGTACCTATTAAAATGACAGAACTCCTAAAAATTGTAGGACCCTCCTATTATATTAAGAACCCGTTTTCAAACAATAAATGTATCAAAAACTGCAAATTGTAAGGATAAAATAAGCAAATAACTAAAGCTTTTTATAGTTTACAAGGAGTTTGGAGTTCTGTGCACCCAGGAAATTTGTCCGCTAATGCGTTTCCACTGATTCGCAAGCTAAATAACGAAACAAGAAGGGACTTCGACAATCCGAAGTTCATATACCCTTGCAACTATTGCAAAAATTAAATATTCTTGAAAACTTTACAATTTACATGCGTATATGTTTAAAATCATTGAAGCTATAATGATTTGCAGCTCACTGCGTTGCAAACTTCTAACTCAAATTATAATACCCTCTGCAAGGGTATAAAAAAATACATTTTTTGAAACTTTAATTATTTTTGGCAAGTTACTTGATTTTTTTCAAAATTTTAATAAAGAACGATTATGATGAATTTACGTCCGGTAAGTTTGGTAACGAAAAAAATGTAGCCCCCATATTCACAGATGGAAAAAGTGGCTTTAAGTTGAGTTTGGAGTCATCTTAATATTTCTCGATTTCTACTCGCGAGTTTGCTAAGTGTAAACGGAAGTTCTGAGTAACTGCGTTAAGTCCAATAATGATGGGGAACTCGCGTAAGCATAATTTTTCTATAAAGCCAATAAAAAAAATGTATCTATTCGAATATATGTTAAGTATGTACATACGTATTACATTTTGAGCCAATCGCATTGTTCCGTTTGATTGGCTCCTAGGCGGTCGTGACTGCGTTGATACCGATAGTGCATTCAGATTATTGGTTATATCGTTGTGTGGCAGATGCTGCGCTTCCTGTTGCAACACAACTGACGCTGTGGCATGAATGGTTAAGAGATTGAGGGCTAACATCCAAATTAGACTTCTAATCCAATAATGGTAATGGCGCAAACCGTAAAACCACTCTTGCTTATCTGGCTGTTGTTTTTGTTTTTGTTGTGGTGTGCCACTATTATGTTTTAGTTGTTGTTGGTTGTAATTGTTAGGGCTTAAACTCAGTCTTGTTGTTGCTGCTGCCAATGCTTGTATCAGCAATAGGAATTTTGTATAATTTAAATTTTTTTGATGAGGTTGCTGCCGTCGGCGTCGTTTGATGAAAATGCCACAATTTAACATAAGCAGCAACAGCGATTGCATCGTTCGCAATATATTGTGACAATTGCTAAAGATATTGAATTTTTCGCGCCGCCGTCGATTGTTTTTCATGCAGTCATCGTCGTTTTCATTGCTGCTTCGGTTTCCACTGCATTTTACGCCCATTTTCTTTCCAGTTGATTCCCCTTTTGTTGTGAACCAGCTTTTGAAACCAGTCGAAATTGTTTCTACACAAACGAATTTTTTTTCGAGAACGATGCAGTCGGGTGCGTCAAAATAAATATTTACAATTTCAATGCCATTCGTACTGATGCTGCTACTTTTAGCTTCAACACTGCTTGCAGACATATCCAAGCCTTCCACTGATTGCCGGCAGCAGCATGTATCCAGCAACATTTCTTGTCGACACAAAATACAAATGTTGCCAATCGTATTTGTTGTTTTTGCTGCGCCTATTGTTGATAATACCTCATCAGCTGTTGTTGCTGCCATTTCGCTCTCTAACTTGATTTTTTCGCGCTTTAACTTGCTTTTGGTCGCTTGTCGTTGCATATTGCACTTATCCGGTGTTTTTATTCGTTCCTTTTTTTTTTTAATTGCAGTTTCTTATGAGTTTTTCATTTGGGTCTCTATCGCAACCCCTGCTAAGTAATCATCTTTCTTCAAGCTCTCGTACGCTGCCCGTGTCACTGATACAGCGAAATAAGCTATGGTTTGTTCTGGCTTTGACTTTGTCGACGTCAGTTGGAATGATATTTTTCTCGTTATATTCCGATTTCGCACTGTAACGAGTCAGAACAATGATTATTAGTTAAATAAATTAACAAATAATTTATACAAAAACTAATTACTAAAAAAGCTATCATAATTTTCGATTATGGCAATTCTAAAATAATAAACCATTACTATTTATTCAAGTCAGTTAAAATACTCTTGCAGCTATTGCAAAAAGTAAATATTCTTGAAAATATTAAAATTATGATTTACTTGCGTGTATGTTTAAAAATATTGAAGCTATGATGATTTGCAGCTCCATTATTCGATAGTTCCTATGGCAGCTATATGATATTGTTTTCCAATTTTAATAAAATTAAAAACATAATTCTGAACTGTCATATTATATATAAGTCAAAAAGAAAAATAAATTACAAAATAAAAAAGTTACATTTAAAAAAAAAAAATGTATTATTTTTGTTGTTTCCATGGGAGTTTTATGTTATAGTTGTCCGATTTTGTTGAAATTTTAAAACGTAGTTCTTAAATATTTAACCATTAGTATTAGTATAAAAAGAAACAGCAAATAATTTTTTATCATTATTTTTTCCTATTGTTCCTTTGGGAGCTATATGCTATAGTCATCCGATCCGGCTCGTTCCGAACTATATACAACTTGCAGAAGATATACAACTTTTGGGAAAGTTTCATGCAGATAGCTTTAAAACTGAGAAACGGACGGACAGACGGACATGGCTAGATCGACTCTCTTGGTGATGCTGATCAAGAATATATATACTTTATAGGGTCGGAGATGTCTCCTTCACTGCGTTCCAAACTTCTGACTGAAATTATAATACCCTCCGCAAGCTATAAACAGCGAGGCTATAATTTCATTCAATTCATATTCTTGCATTGGGAAGACGATAATGGAAAGTCAAACGCAAAATTTCTTTTTAAATTCTTTTTTTAATTCTTTGTCTTTGACAGAAATTAATGAAAGTAAAAGAGAATTCCGCTTGTCTCCCTTTAAGAACGAGCATAAAAAAAATCAAACTATTGATTTATATAAAAACGAAAAGTTGCCTAGCGCAACTTTGAAACTCAATATACTTTGCAATTATATAACTAAATATCACAACTTTCCATGAATGAATAAAAACGTGTTAACAATATTCGGTTATCTCTTGGTAAACAATGTAGAAAAATGTAGAGCTGTTATCCGGAACTCGAGATAAAAACAAGACAGTGCTATAGTCGAATTTTTCCGATTATAAGATACCCGTTACTCAGCAGACAACTTTAAAGTAAATATTCAACAATCAGGGTCTAGGTGCCAGAGCAAAAGCGTGCATTAAAAAGTTATTGACTTTAAAATATTTTTGTAAAGGAATAAGTTATGGAGAAATTATTCCAAAAGAAATTATGTCGATAGGACCGCTTAAATATTAAATCGGAAAATAAAATTAACAAATTAACAAGGATATAAGAACAGCAAAGTTATAATTTTTTTGCATTTATTTTTCCGATTGCTATATGCTTTAGTCGACCGATCCGGCTCCGTCCGGCTTATGTACTACCTGCAATAGAAAGTCAACTTTTGGGAAAGATTTATGCACGGACAGACGGACAGACGGATGGATACCCGGACAGACGAAGTTCCAACAAAAATAATAATCATAACAATAACAGGAACATAAGTGTCGGCATTGACGCAATATCCGGCAGAAGAGAGCAAAAAGAATGGAGTGAATGACCAAAAGAGAGACAGAGACCGAAGCCAAAAGCCAACAACATTCCAATCCGAAACAAAGTTGCCAGTCAAGTTAAGAAGCAACGACTGCAAAACGAATGAATAAGACGGAAAAGAACAGTCTTTAATAAACGATGACGAAAAATAAGATGCTGAAAAAAAATTCCAGTTCAATGGTAACACATTGAAATATTTGATCAATTTTTTTTTCGTGTTTCAAATCGACCAAAAAGAAGCAAAACAATAATATTATTACATTATGATAATCGAAGATAAGGCCACACTCACTGGGAGATATGACTAAACGAAAACCTGCTTAGACCGATCGAAATTCCAACTGTGTATTGATGGGTCGATGATGATCAGCTGCTTTCGCCATATCTCATTGATAATATCTCAATTCTCTCCGGTTTGTCACAGCATCGCATTTTTTGGTTTTTTAGTTTGTCAATGCTTTATTTAAGCCTTTATCAAAATGGTTAACTAAATATTTAACAGATAGTTGGTGCTGTGAATATATGCGAAACTGGGGGATGAACAATTTACCTGACTAAAAGGTGTTTAGTATTATAAAATTTAAAAGACGAGTTAAAGCAACTGGCAAAAATATATTGCGAACAAATGTCATTTCACAGCGATTGAGTAAACTTCTATAACACAAGTTAACAGTTCTTTCGTTCTGTCTCCCAACATCAGATCCACTGTGCTCCGGAGCATGATGCAACTATAAAAGGTGGACTCAACGCACGAGCTGCTGTCTTTTTGAGGACTTGTATTTTTTTTCGTTAGTCAAACGGGCGAAAGAATAACGATTGCTATCTCTTTCTAGAGTAGTCTCCCAAAAATGTATTGTCCTCGGCAGAGCTGATGAGGCCCCCTTGTATAGTTGCATCATGACCCAGGGCAGTGGTCAACGTGGACCTATATATCTCTGGAGTGGTCAGCAGGTCGGCAAACATACCATAACATGCTTGCAATTCTTTGGGTGAGTAATGTGCACGGCGAAACTTTTCATCGTGTGTGTGCCTCTGCCGCTGCGCTACTGCTGCTCTGCCGACTTGGCCTTGGCCTATAATCCAGGGATAGCCCTTTGCCGACCACTGGACTGAAGCATATAGTTATAGTATGTGTGCCGACCACTGTCCCATCTAATGATCATAGAATAGTGTTTTGACAGCGGAGCGCCGGCAGACCAACGGCAAATAACCTAATAAATCAATAGCTTTTAAAAGCTATTTACCTATAGATATTATCCAAAAACACAAACAGAGTGACAGACATGAAAGACGTTCGCGATTTGTGGGTGTTGAAATGGGCGTGGCCACGTTTTGAAATAAACTTTCGTTGCGTAAGAATTACTAATCCTACTCCTAAAATTTTAGCATTTAGTTTCCGAGATCTCGATGTTCATATGGACGGACAAACCGAGTGTCGGATAGACAGACGGACAGACAGACGGTCATGGTTTGATCGACTCGGCTATTCATCCTGATCGAAAATATACACATATACTTTATAGAGTCGGAAGCGCTTCCAAATAGCTGGTACACTCTTTTCAACACTAATAATTTCACACACCGCACTCCACGTCTATGTCTAGGAACCGGAAGCTAGGCAACTGACAATTGCAAAAAGCTCCCGATTATACATTTAAAAACAAAACAACATGCAAACAACACATAAACATGAACTAAATTAGTATCTTAACCTTTTCCATTGCACTCCTTTGAAAATTTCTCCATCCTTAGGCCAGTCAACACAAACACTACTTAATACATATATCCTTACTATTCTATTTTTTAAAAAATTGTACTGTAGTCCTATTACATTCTTAAGGGCTAGTGCTCAGATCGATGAACAGTTTCGCCAGCGTAAAAACTTTATTCTTCCTAGTGTGACCGATGTTTAAAGAATTTTTTGGATTCGGTGTGCTTCGGTCTTACAGTCATCTGTCTTGTTGAATAATAGACTACAATTTAAATTTATGTCGCCACAGTCTGCACCTTTATCTAAGCATTGTTATTATTGTATATCTACGTGAATAATTTAAATCTATGAATGACAATCTTTATCAATATGCCAGTGCTCCTTTAACAAAAGTGGTACTAAAATTTATCGGGAACATTTGTCGACAACCTTTTAATATTGCAGGCGATCCTTCAATACTCTGCTTTGCCATCTCCAACCTCAAAAGATTTATTTTTTTATTCTTTTCGCTTGGGCTTGGCGTACGTTCACCCAGAGTTCATCTCAGATATCTAACAGCGCTTTGCCATTTTCTTGGATTTTTTTTCGTTGATCTGAGTACCGGGATGGAAATCACACTGGCGAAAAGTGTATGCCGGTTAGTTGCCTCTAGCTCTCTCTCATAGCTGACGAACTGATTTCGCCGATCTGAGTACTAGGCTTAAGTAGCTTTTTCCTTGCAGTGATAGAAAAATATAAAAAACATCCATCATCGCAAAAACGATGTTTTTATAAATGAAATTATAAACGATGGTTGCCGAAGTTTGCTTCCTTCTTCTTTAAACGGAAAACAAAAATTTTTGTAAATTGAGAACAATTTTTTCAAATATGTATATAAATTTTCGCAATTGTATAACAGGTTTTCTTAAGAGCATAATATCTGAAAATTCCCCAAAAGGTAAGAAACCCTTAAACATCCAAACACTAAAATTTAACTAACTATAAACAGCATAAATGATTTCTAAAATATAATATAGGTTTTATAATATTTTTTATTTATTTTATTATATTGTATAATGCATAGTATACATATATAGTGACTCGAGATGTTCGTCTGAGCCCGTACCTTAAAGCCCGTTGTTTTATGCATCACCGTTCAGATCAGCGAACTCAATATGGATCCACCAACTTGCTGTCCGACCAAACGATCAACTGTTCGTCTAATTTTAAAAGTTGTCTACTAAAATAGGTAAGCTTAAATTCAGAATAGTATTTTTTAAAACAACAAAGTTGTAACGTTTTAAGTTTTACCCTTTCAACGGCCCAAAAAATAAAACAAACTCATTATTTATTCCCAATCAGGATCAATGACCGAGTTGCTCTGAGACAGATAGAGTCCAGATATCACGGTAGTACATGTAGTGACGATGCACACCAAGGGCGTGTGCGTAGAAGACTACTATAAAAATAAAATTCCTAATTAAAGCACCGGAATTATTTTGGAATTTTTTTCAACATTCTGTTGTATAAAGCTTTGAAAAAAAAAGTCGCCTTGCTTACTGTCCTTTGTTTAGAAATTTGCTTTGTTTATTTTTATACCCTTCCAGAGATAATTTCACCCAAAAGTTTGCAGGAGACATTTCCAATATATATACAAATATACAAATTCTTGATCAGCATCACTAGGGGGGATCAAACCGTTTTTACACAAATTAACCTCTTATAGTCAAGGAAAGGATCCGAAATTATATGAAACCATATGATATAACACTTTTAAAGGCGAGATATAAGAAAAATTCTTCAGAAATTTGCAATGAAATTTGCAACGCAGTGAAGGAGACATTTCCGATCCTATAAAGTATATATATTCTTAATCAGCATCACTAGGAGAGTCGATCTAGCCATGTCCGTTTGTCCTTCCGTCTGTCCGTCCGTTTTTACGTAAAGCTATCTTTTATGCAAAACTATCTTTTATGCAAAGCTATCTTTTATGTAAAGCTATCTTTTATGCAAAGCTATGTTTTATGCAAAGCTATCTGCATGAAACTTCGGCTAACCGAAGCACCGAAATGGGTTCGCTATTGCGCTCTGGGTTTTTCCATTCTTGAGGTGTTTAAGGACTAATTCCCTTTGCTTGATCGTTGTTCGCGGATCCAACGTTAAAAATCCCCGGAAAAACTTTAGTTTAATGTGACCAGCTCCAAAAACTTATGAATTGTTTATTTTAGAATATAATTATACTGGTATACAAAAAAAAATGATTGAAAAATCTCGCTTCGACGCCAAAACTGCCTGTTTTTTTTTAAGTTTTCTATGAAAAACTGTTTGGTTTTTTTCAGATAAAGTACTTTTTTATCAAATTAAAAATTTAAGAGTTAGTTGAGTTACTGCGTTTAAATTTTGTTGATATCGTTGCTGGTTCAGCAGCAATGACGATTTGAAATTTCATTTTCATTTCATTCTTGAACGAAATAAGCTTCGAGCCACTGTATATGAAAAGTTCGCACACGTCATGTCAAAAACTAAAATTAGATTTCGGGAAAAACCTTAAAATATATCATATCAGCTATAGCTCTAACCACAATTTCTGTTAACTCCTAGTTTTAACTATTAGTTAGCATTATATAAATAAATAAATATCATATCAGCTATTTTGACCCCTCTCAAGGAGAGCTATAAAAATTTATTTATTTAAATTAATTTTTAATAGTTAAGTATTAATTATATATACATACCTTGTACGTTGGACAATTAGTATTGAGAATTTTTTTCTTTTCTCATAGAAAACCTGAAATAGAAAATATAAATATTTGTCAGAAAGACCATAACAAGAAAGGAAGCAAACTTCGGCAAGCCGAAGGATATACACTCTTGGAGCTATTACAATAAATATATTCTATAAAACGACCACATGTAAGTTAAGAATGACGATTTTAAATTTTCCGATGATTTTTTCGATCGTTCCTATGGCGGCTATATGATTTGTTAGTCGACTTATATAAAATTAAAATCGTAATGTGGCATAGTCGCCCGATCCGGCCTGTTCCGACTTATATACTATCTGCAAGGAATAAAATACTTTTAAAAAAATGTCATTCAGCTAGCTTGACAATTGAGAGACTAGTTTGCGTAGAAACGGATGGGCGGACAGCCGGACATACGAAAATATGGGCATACGGACGGACAGATGGAAATGTCTGGATGGACTCTCCAGACAAGCTGTTTATTATTATAAAAAGAGTTAAATGTGTCCACTTAGAAAACAAAGTTCCTTTATTTTAGGAAAAATTGCCTTAATTTTAAAAATAATTTCCTTTAAATTGAGCTTCCATATGAAATTTAGGAAAACATAACTAAAACGACTCTTAAGGCAATTATTGCCCTTAAACGTCGTTTTAGGTAAGATTAATCTGTGTTTTTATTTGCACCTATACAACTCATTTCATGACATCCATTTTTTTCAAATGAAAAACATCAAGAAGGGAAGAAAAAATTATGCTTATTTGTTCTTTTAGAGTTTTTTGAGGTAAAATAAGTAATGGAAAACAAGGGTCATAACTGTGGTCTTCGGTTTTTCAATACCCAAGTCATATAGTGACGACTCCTGGTTGAAGTATATTATACTTTGAGTAGTTAAAACAAAAACTTGTGATTCTTCGCTCTTAACACAAAATCTCTGATTTCAAATTTTGCTACGAAAAATGACTAAGCATACGACTGTAAAAATATAGTTGTCAAATTTGAAAGATTGTAGACAAAAAGCTAAAATTCGATGTTAAAGCGGGACAAAAAAGAAATATTTAAAAAGTGTATTTATTAAATCGTTTATGCGAAATGCTCAGTTTGAAATTCTTTCCAGCCTGGTTTTAGTTTTGTTATTGTCGTGCAGTTGATCCATTGTTGAAACCCACTAATAGAACACTTTTGTGGTTTCATTGTTGTTGTTAAATACACAATAGAACACGACTAAAGCCAAACAATTTTGGTAAATTATTTGAGTACTTTTTAAATTTTTATTGTTTTAGTTCCCTGTTATTGCACTTAATCTTAAGTCTTCCGAAAGCGTTTTGGTTTTCAAGATGCCCAAAACTTACCTTTTTGAATGACGTTAAATTTGATACAAATTAAAAACATGTTTCTTTCAACAAGTATTATTTACCGAAAGCAATAACTACTCAACCAATCCCAAGATACTTTCACTCCTTGCTCACCAAATCTGCTTTGCTTTCTCCGTTCATGCAAGAATACTTGAATCAAGGGAACAACATTTTAGCCCTCCTCTTTTCTTGAAGTGTAATGACATTTTTAAGAGTCCAACACCCGTCATTGTGTGAGTGAGGGGAATGCAAGTGAGCAAACAACAATAATTGTCAGCGGCTTTAACAGAAAGTTCTGATTTGATAAGCTTTCTTCTCTAATCTAGACAAGAGATTTTCCCCCTCGCACCTATTTTTTTGTATGTTTGCCAACGCGTTATTTGCTTACTTTTATTATTTATGATCCGTTCCGGTCCTCATCGCCCAATTATTTTGAAGAATGCATTGCGCAAAGCATTTCTGAGTTTCGTGAGTTGTTTGATTTGCAATTTTTTAAGTTATCAATGAATTTCCTACGAATGACGGGCGTGAGAAGAGTAAAATTATATGCGTACTATTGGGTTCGTTTTCATTCACAACCATATACCACAATTTCCTCCGCCCTTACAAAGTAAATAAAATACGCATTCGGTCTATAAAGGCAATGCTACCAAATTTTGCCTTTTAGGTTTTGTTGCGTATAAAAAAATCTACCTCTTTATCTAATAATTTTACATATTTAAATTTTGTTGTGTTTATTGTATTTAAATGTATTTAAATTTATTTAAAGATTAAAATAATCCAATTTTACATATATATTTTTTAAGGTCAGGTAGTGTTTTATTTCATTTATTGGTTTCTTAGTTTATTTTAAGCGGGCGCTTATAAGCTATATGGCAATAGTCAACTCCAGTGGTCGGCACACATTCTATTACATAATCGAACTTCTTTGTGCGAGATGTCATTTCCATTTTTTTCTCGTCAAATTCGGCTTTTGTAAAGTGTAATTGCGGGAATTTGAGCTTTTTTAGAAAATATTTTGAAAGTTAAAAAAATAGCATAACTGCAATCCTGGAGTATTTTGGTACTCCCAATATTGACCAAAACGAACGACAGTATAATGGCATTACTTTGGTTCCGTGGGAAAATGTCGATAAGACAGCCACCTTCTGGATTGAAGTTCTACGATAACATGTACTCTATCGGGAACTGCCGATTTCAAGAATTGGCATTAGTTGGTCGGGAAATGCTGGCCCTTCCCTGGTCAAACGCCGAGGTCGCGCGATTTTTTATCCAAGTAAATGTGGTAAAATCGAAACTTCGAAATAGTTTAAGCGTTGAAACATTAAACGCTATTTTAAGTATAAATTCGAAATTAACTTAACTTTTTAGGTATGGACTGCGCTATATTTATTTATTGTATTTAAAACCAGAATATAATCATTTCACCAAAGTCAGTTCTAAAAACTCTTATAAAAGCAATACCTCTTGATTGCCATGTAATGTAAGATTGGACTTTTCATTGTTAATCGACGAAGTAATAATTAGTTTTCGTTAATTTGTTTCGATTGCTTATATAGGAGCTATACAATATAGTCCGGTTCGTTCCGACGTATATATTTTCTTTTAGGAAAGACTCATGCAGATAGTATTTAAAACTGAGACAGTAGTTTGCGTAGAAACGGATGGACGGACGGGCAGACGGACATGGCTAGAGCGACTCTCTGATGCTGAACACGAACATGTATATACTTTATAGGGTCGGAAACGCTTGCTTCTACATGTTACATACTTTTCAACAAATACAATGTACCCTCTTAGTCTACGAGGAACAGGTATACAGCCCTGTTCCAGTTTTGACTTCCGAAAGATTCACACGGTTTCGAATTTTCCGTCTGTTAATTATCCGCCAAGCAATTGGCTGGCGGAATCAATTCCGCAAGCACAGAAATTAATTGATTTAAAATGCTTTGCGATAAGTTAAAGTTCAGATGATATTTTTCCTTTTTCTTTAATGGTTTAAGAACATGATTGCTTTACAAATTTGGTTTATAAGCACATATTTGACTTATTACAAATTATTTTGTGATTGTTCTAGTTTTCGAACGAATTGAAGGGAAGGCTGCAGGAGTTGTCATGATAGGAACAAAAAACAAGTATTTTTTGGAACTTATTTTTAGCACGCTTTTTTGTGTTCGTTTGAATATGGTAATATAGGCATTTAATCAAAGTAACATTTAATAGTGATTTTGTTCTTATTACCGCTTAATTTAATGTTCTATTTGAGCAAAGCGTATCTCGTTGGGACCTCAAGACTACTTGTGAAAAGTTCACAACACTGACACCAGCATTTTCTAGCACCGACTTAATGCGTCATACAAAAATTTGAAAATTTGTATCTGTGGCCGCCAATGCAAGTTCCTTCGATTTTATACGCTAAACTAGTAGACCATTAATCCCATTAGCTGAGGGACACCAACGGGCCAAAATTTAATTAGCTCTGAGACAGCAAAACTTTGTCAAATCAAACGCCTTTGTCAATAGGGTACAGCTGCCAGTCAGGTGATTTTGTTTGAGAACAAAAGGGACTAAAAGAAGGAAAATTTTCCTATGTTAAAGGAAAAACCGAAAATGTTATCAAATTCACTTCCGAGTGAAAACTGGAACAGGCCTGATAGACACTTTAAAATTGACTGTTAGTCAATGCTTGCATTACCTTTAGTTCTGTTTCCATATTGTTTTATTATTGGTCCAAAGAAACTGAATATAGACAGGACGTCCTCAGGGCCGCTTGTGTCCCTTAGAGATGGCATTAGTAATATACTAGTTTAACGCATAAAATTGAACAGATATTGTTGACCACAAGTAAAAATTTTCAAATTTTTGTATGCCGCATTTTAGTCAGTGCTAGAAACTTCTGGTGCCAGTGTTGCAAACTTTTCTCAAGTAGTGTTGAGAAACAGAGTTGCCAAAGTCGATGAAAAAGGACCCAACGAAACACGCATGCACAAATAGATAATTAAATAAAGCGTGCTAAAAAAAAAGTCTTAAGAAAATACTTGTTGTTTTCGTATATTGACAACCATTGCAGCTTTCCCTTAAATTCATTTGGAAACTAGAACCAGGATGACGGAATTGCTAAAATGCCAAAGTCTAGAATCAAACCAATTCTATTCAACCGTCAAACATGTTATTAATAACCAATTTAATTAAGCTGTAATAAGGTAAAATTATAATTTACACGTTAGGTATCGCAAAGAATTTTAAAATAATAATGTTCTGTATTGGCGGATCTGAATCCGCCAGTCAAATGTCTTTCTTTCTTCACTGGGTTGCCAACTTCTGACTGAAAATATAATACCCTCTGCATGAATAAAAAATGTCCATTTTACAAGAGTCTAAAAAAGTATACAGCAACAAAAAAAGCAGCAAGGTTAAAATAGTTGTTTAGCTATTATGTTCCGCTTAAATTATTTTCACATTTACTCTATTCCCCGCCATTTCTACAAACATAGATACAAATTCATACGAGCGAACGGCAAGAACAACGACAAAGACAACAACTACTTGAACGAGGAGAACAACAAATGCGAAGTACGGGGCACAAATGAACCTAATCAAGAGTAAAACGCCGCAAATAAAGCAATAAACAAGGCAAAATACTGTTTTTTCTCTCTTCTTTTTTTTATCTTGCAAACAAAATATTACAATT